ACCCGCTGCGCCACCAGGGAGGGGGATCGAACTCATGCTGAAGTGGGCTTTAGCTTCTTAGTGTTGTGCTTTAACCCGCTGCGCCACCAGGGAGGGCCCGAAAAACACTTTTTTACCTAGCATTTAAAAAAAAATACTGAACACTTGTAAAATTAAGATTATTCTGTTACCTTTTTTTATGTCTTCACTTAAATTTCTTCAAAATACAAGCCAAATAGCGACTCCTTGTGTACTTTCTATTATGTTGTGGCTTGCTCAGAGAGCTTTGCATTGTGAAATTTCCTTTTCCCCTTATGTCTTTATTTTCCTGATAAGTACTGTATTGGTAACTTACTTCCATTGACTGTGATAGAAATTATACTCTTATCTGGGTACATTCAGATTTAGAATGAATTAAGGAATTTCCTTAATTGAGTTAAAGTTTTTAGCAGCCTTAAAATGCAAAGATAAATTTGCTGGAGTCAGTGGATGAGAACCTTATATTTTTTGGAATTGTGGTCAGTTCTAATAGTACAGATAGAATGATCTTGTTTGAGGATGGTGGAGTGGAGTAGGTGGGTAGGGGAAAAACATAGTGGGAAGTTCATGTATTTTACATTAATTCTGTCATAAGGTTTAATAACTGCTGTTTCTCCAGCTACTTCCACGGGGCGAAACATTCAAAGTATGTTGTTACTTAAAACATTCATTAAGTTTCTTACTCCTTCATGGGTCATGTTGTGTATTCTGTTTGGATATAGCAGATCTGGTCTTACTGCAATCAGATTCTTACTTAGACTTAACTAAAATCTTTCCCTTTTCTTTTCCTGCCAATCTCTTTTCTTGCCTGCCAGTATTGTGTTGAAATACTGATTTTGGAGTGTGTATGTATTATACCTAATGAACTTTCCAGCCTTATTGTAAAACATAGTTCAGAAAGTTTATTTTTAAGCACTGAGGGAAAGAGCCACTGGTGGAAGCTCTGCTGGCCAGGCTTTTTGTTTATGTTATCTTATTTAATCTTGTGACAAACAATTTTTACTTCATTTTATTAATTGAGAACACAGGATTAGAGAATTTAAGGTACTCTTTTAATGTCATAGGTACAAGTGGTAGAAGCCATTTGGGTTCAAGTTTTTCTGTATCTAAATCCTGTATTCTTTCTATTATACCAGGGATTACAGAGGTTCTTGTCAGAAATAGGTTTTTAGTAGTAAGGTTAACAATTCCTTTTGTAGGAAATGTTCTTTTAAAATATCCTAACCTTGTATATGTCATTCAGTTAATTAGAGAAAACATGTATGCAGATTATTCTGACCTTATTTCTAGATATGGGTATTTCTAGGCAGTTTTTTTTTTTTTT